ATTCGTTGAAAAAAGAAGTAGTATTTAACGCTCGAATATTAATTTCCACTCATAGGCCACAGACTGCAGTCTTTCCGGGAAAGAGCCAGAAGGCCAGACCACCCCACCCACCTTGACCAGCCCGTGTTCAGGTCCTGGGCCGCTGAAATTGGAGGAGGTTTCAATGGAAGGCCAAAACTCGACGTCGGCACCAACCCCTTCTTCTGTTGGCGGCCTTCAACAAAGTCAACAACGTCGACGCAAAACTTTTCGGTTAGCCCTTATGAAGCGGCATCGAAACCGCAAGACAACGCCACCACCACCTCTTCTTTCACCGAATACACCACCTCGAGATGGGGCTCAGACCGACAGCCTGTTCGCTGAAGGTACTTGGCTTCCTCTGTTTCACGACTAAGCCCAAAAGCGGTTTTTTCGTAAATTTAAAGTGGTCTTTTCGGCTTTCTTTCCGCTATTATACTATGAATGTGACCAAACAGTGTGGGCTGCTTTCTTGAGGCCTGACTGGAACCTTCTTTTATTTTGACTTGGTTGCCATTATGGGTGTTCCAGTCATTTGGATAGAAACACAAATAACATTTTTTACTCATTTTAGTACTCTGAGACTCATACATAGCGGGTTACGTAGGTGATGATAAACCAGTGCTATAAACGTGTTATTGAAATGTTCGTAGTAGCATAGTTATCGTAATAAAATAGATCAAACGGGCAGTCCAACCTGACTGTCCCATTGCGCCGCCTCCATTGGGATATCGCGGTTCGGAACTTCTCACGGACCGTAGTCGCCAGCATACGTCACCCATTAGATGATGAAGATTGTACTCGTTTGTGCTCTTAAAAAGCCATGGGCAGCTGTTTGGAAGGGTTAAACATTCACCGTTTTAGACCATCATTTCTGACCCCTTCCCTAGAGAAAATAGACAATGCTCCCCTGAATAAGGCCGCCCGGGCCTCCAGATGACTGCGTGAGGGCTCATAACCTTTAATGAGGAAACGACTCAAGTTAAACTACTCCGACGGGGTGTATATTGCTTTCTTTACTGAATTAGAATACATAGGGTGTTGCCGCCAGAGCTGGGGGAGTTTTGCAAATAATTTGATAATGAAGTTGATTACAGTAAGGAAGCACACTCCAATTTGAATTTACATTCGGGGTGGTTATCGCCGTATGTGGCCTCTAACCATATACGGTCAGATACAGTGATAACTAGGTTTGGGACGAGACTAACGTGAAATGCATCTGACTCTTTTGTGCCACTATATTTCCATTCGAGTAGCTACTCCTCCTACAGTACAAAGACTATATCTTTGTGTTCTTGCTTCCGGACTTTCTTTGTTATTTTACGTCTTTAATTTCAAGCACTTGTGGCTTCACCTATCACGTTCAAATCCATCTCTATCACCTCTCACAGATTGTGCAGCCCTGTCGTCACCTCAGCGGTCTTCGGGTATCCCAAAGTTGACTCTGGCCAAATGTGAAAATGGCCAGTTTAGTGTAGTACCGAGTACACGTGACGAACCAGACGATTCCCTCGAGGCTGCATTGGCGCTGCCTTCGACCCGGAAAGAAGAGAAGCATTCCACCTCTCCAATACCACCACCATCGTCACCACCGCCACCCCAGTCCGCATCCTCGTTGCCACCGGCGAGTCCTCCAATTCCGTCTCCGACTTCCCAGAATAACGGGACAGTCAATGTAGTCCCTGCTGAGACCTCGTCCCGAGATAGCAGAATCGATTCTCTGGCTGGTCCAGCCACTGCTGAACGAGGACCCGTGCTCATGGACGGCCCCTCTGGGTAGGTCATGGCGTAGGCGTGTTAGCTCTTACAAAACATGCTGATATTCACGGCGTCTCTCTACTGACTCAGAAACTGCCATAAGTGTACCGATCAAAAGGCCCAAGTGAGAAGGGAAAGATCCGGAATAGGTGGAAAATGCACTGCAGCTGAGCAGTAGATTTCTTTGAAATATTATTTTTTGCAAGAAAAGATGCGAATGTTAAGCACAGGAAAACTTTTATCGAAGAAATGTACCTAATCCGTGTGCATGTCGATGAAAGCAAAGGAATGAGTAAAATAGGATATCCCTGAAACATTTTTGATAATCAAAGGGTTCAGACTCCTCTGGGAACTAGTATGGCGGCTACTACGGTAGTCGCCGGCTATTAAGCCCACCTCGGGCCCAGACCAAATTGAGCTTAAT